TATTTGTATTTGTTTTAAGCACTAAAATATTTATGCAAAGTTTCAATCCATTTGGATAAACCCTCGAAGAAAAAAGTGAGAAAATTGATTTTGGCTAGTATCGCCCCTAGTCAAAAATTGAAAATGTATTTCCTACTTGGTTCTTTGCTCAAAAAAAATTTGAGGATGTTTTTTTTTGTATTTGTTTTAAGCACTAGAATATTTATGCAAAGTTTCAATCCATTTAGATAAACCCTCGAAGAAAAAAGTGACAAAATTTATTTTGACTAGGGTCGCCCCTAGTCCAAAATTGAAAATGAATTTCCTACTTGGTTCTTTGCTCAAAAAAATTTTAGAATGTTTTATTTGTATTTGTTTTAAGCACTAGAATATTTATGCAAAGTTTCAATTCATTTGGATAAACCCTCAAAGAAAAAAGTGACAAAATTTATTTTGACTAGGGTCGCCCCTAGTCCAAAATTGAAAATGTATTTCCTGCTTGGTTCTTTGCTCAAAAAAATGTTTGGATGTTTTTTTTGTATTTGTTTTAAGCACTAAAATATTTATGCAAAGTTTCAATCCGTTTTGATAAACCCTGGAAGAAAAAAGTGACAAAACTGATTTTGACTAGAGTCGCCCCTAGTCCAAAATTGAAAATGTATTTCCTACTTCGTTCTTTGCTCAAAAAAATTTTAGAATGTTTTATTTGTATTTGTTTTAAGCACTAGAATATTTATGCAAAGTTTCAATCCATTTGGATAAACCCTCGAAGAAAAAAGTGACAAAATTGATTTTGACTAGGGTCGCCCCTAGACCAAAATTGAAAATTGATTTTCTATGGTGTACTTTTGTCAAAAAATTTTTTTGGATGTTTTATTTGAATTGATATAATTCTGACATAAATCATATACCATTATTACTTTTTGTAATATATAGTTAAAAAAAAAATCGGAATCTAAAATTTCGACTACCCCATCTGAATTTTGTTCATACTCTTCACTGTGGAAACCAAAAAACCAATTCTTTATCTTAAAACACTTGACAAAATAGCGACATAATTCAGGATTAATCCTTTTTAAAAATATTTTAACATTTATGACATAATTATGACATAAATTAGGTATGACTTTTGAACTGTGTCGATATGGGTCTCGGCCGTACTTCACGCCCACCCTTCAAACTTATGCTGAGCAAATCTTGGTCTATCCATAAGACTTTTGATGGTACGGTGTGAATATATCCGCATTGGGTTTCTACTCGATACACTAGTTCTTATTTAAGTTTTTGGAATAATGAAATTGACAAATTAATAAGTGAGATTTTTTTTGGATGAAAATCTTTTTAGATAATAAATCCACTTATTAATATAAGTGGAATTATTATCCACTATGACAAATAAGTTTTTGGATTTAATTTAATCGTGTTCCATAAAGATAATAATCCCACTTAGAAATGTAAGTGAAATTATTATCTACCTGGGAGATAATAACCCCACTTGTAATTATAGGTGGGATTATTATCTTCCCGGAAGGATAATAATTCCACGTGTATTTCTAAATGGGAATATTATCCCGCAGGGAACATTTAAAAATTTGCGATTTTCGGGGTTATTATCCCGCAAAATCGTAAAATTAATATCTTTTGGGGATTTTACCCCCCATCCTTTTACAATACTACAATGCAATGTTACTTAAAAGCATAAATTTTTTTGAATTTTTTTTTTGCATTTTTATATTTCATTATATTTATTTACCAAACAAAAGAACTAAGAAATAATAATACTTAGCTCTAAAATGTATGCTTAACGGCTTAACCATCAAAAAGTTTCATTATCTTAGAGAAACACTTAGGATAACTCAGTTTATTTTGAATTCTAGAAAAACAGGAAAACAGCTGTTTTTAAAAATCAAAAACCGAAAACAGACTGTTTTTCAAAAACAGCTGTTTTCCACAAACCCTATGAAAAATTAAAATTGAGCAAAAAAGTGCATTTTTTTAAGTAACCTAAATCTGGAACTTCACATCATCGAAATACCAAAGAACCAATTGAACTGGCGAAGTTATATCGGCATTTGTGAGGAAAATTTGTCTCGCGATGGGTTTTGCGTGTCCCCCCCCCCAAAAAAAAACAAGGAGGTTCTATTAATCATTTGGTGCTTACTGCAATTCATTAAATCTAAACATTGACAAACTGAATTTGTTCATATTGGAATGCAGCAACATATGTAATCAAGAAATAACAGAAAGTTATCTTTTCGAAACACCACAGAACAAGGGCGATTCCATGGGTAAATGAAACTGAAATTTTTTTTTTCAAAAACTTTTTTAGCTTTTTCTGCTTAAATATACATATTTCAACATATCTTTTCACTAAATAAGACTTATTATTCATCAATTCATGTGTTATTAGCATTTAATCGTCTTAATTATGCTGCATTTTGACAAAAATATGTAATATGTTTTGCAATAATCGGTTGAAAGTTGACCGATTAAGTGGTGTTTTCCCCAATTTTCTCCTTAATTACAGTAGAAAGACATACAAATAAGATATTGTTATAAAGCACAGACGATTTCACGTGTGTTTATCATAGTTTTGTAACACAACAATGGATATTCGAAGAAATATTGATGAAAATTTAAAAATCAATTTTTCGTAAAGTTGACCGATTAAGTTTGGTTTTTTTAAAATATCTTTTGTCAGACAGATTTAACTAAAAGATTATGCACTTAAATACATAAATACCATAATAATAAATAAAATAAATCTTAAATATGGCGTTAAATGAAGTTAATTAAGGAAATATTTACAAAAAATTGAGTTGAGAAAAAAAAAATCACTCATGGAATCGCCCACAACTTGATTTGGAAATAGATTTTGCCTGATGATGGTTTTTTGTTGTTTTTGACATTTCGTCAGGCATGTTTTCTATCAACCCTTTGATGGAGCTTAACCAAAATAATTAATAAATAAAGAACATTTGAATGGGTTTATTGCAATATTGTAAGTTTATACTTTTGTTGTCCAGAAACCATACAAATTCTAATAAATCTGATAAACAGACTTTAAACATTCTTTGAATGTTTTAATTTTCACGGATTTCTACAAAACCGTGCTTGCTCCATAAAATTCAATAAGTGCCAATATACAGTAATAATTTTTCCATTCAACTACAAACCTCAATTTCAAAGCTTTTATGAAGCTTTTAATTCTGAAAATAGAAATGAAAAATAAGTTTCAACACGAAAGATTTCATTAAATTATTATTTTCTTTCATTTTATTTACACATTAGTATTATTATTACAAGAGAACTTTAAAAATGTAAAGTTAACAATTAAGTGCAACTTATGAGCTAATGACTTAATGGCATAAACATAAAAAATAATGGCAGGACAAATTCAATTAATTCCATGAAATATATTTGCTTTTAATAAGTTACAATTTTTAATATTTTCTTGAAATGAAAGTTCTCCATCATCAAGAAATAACTCTTTTTATTGAAAATATAAATTAGAGCATTTTTTTTATATTAAAAGAATTTTTTCTACTTTTATTTCCACCCTAGCTTATATCAAAGTTGTTTTTGTCGTATCTTAGCGAATGATATCGTTCGCTCATTCCTTAAACAATTTTTTTTTCCGTTTCTTTATTCCATTTTACGTGTCGTGTTAACATACCAAATTTTTTCAGGGTAGTTCATGCTTCACATTTTAAATCTGGCGGTTTATGTGTGAATTAGGACTAGCTTGATCAGTTTAATGTTTTGATAGACTGACTGACTAGATATTTTGTTGATTTACAATTTTTGGGTACCTAGTATTTTTTTTTTACATTTTTGAAGTTCAAACTCAAAAAGTTATTTTTAAAATTAAAGGTTTTAAGCGAAGAAACTATTTTTAAATCAGTTCAAAGTCATAAGTAACGTCAATTAAACAATAATATTATGAAGAAAACTCAAAAAATTTTGAATGTTTATAAGATTTTGTAAATTTATTCTTAAGATAACGAAAAATACATTTCACAGATTCAAGAGAAGAGGTTGTTGCATAAACTTGTAAAACATTTAAGAATTTTAACAGTTAAAGGAAAAGAGATTTAATTTATCATGAATATATTTTTCTGGATCTTTCAAAACTAATTTACTGGCTGCAATCAATAAAATGCGTTTTGTCCACTTCAATACTACTCAAACTATACATTTCTCATCATATAAATATATTTTATACATATACAAATAGTTTTTCATTATAATTTTTTTTTGCTACTAAAAAGAAAGAAGGAAAGAGAGTGCGATATAAAAAAGAACCGGTGTAATGACCTAAATTTAGCAGTAAATTATCAAGCACAAAAATAAATTTATCACGCTAGTATTATGTACATTTCCTTTTTAGAAATAAAATTTTGTTGCTTCTCTTACTTTTGTCCATTATATGCCAATTTTCACAATTTTACTTAAAATATAACGCTAATTTTTATGGAATCCGCTGATTTTTTTTTGAGGAGTATTATATTAACATTTATGGTATAATTTATTATTTATTATTATTCCTTTCTTTAGTATCAAAAAGGACACAGAAAACTTCATTATACCTATTGTCTTATCATAGAATACAGCCCCCTTAAGTATTCAAGACCATTTCTATATATTTACATACACGTTCTATCGCTTACCTTGAAAACATCAGAATATAAACTTTTCATGCTCTCTTACAGCTCTTTTTTACACTATCATCATGATCACTCGCTTCTTTGACGTATTAATCAATTTCCTTATATTATCTACGAACTTAGGGCATTAAGTTTATTTATTTTGATTGTTAGTGACTCAATGATTAGACTAAATCGAATTATTTATACATTAATCAATTTCAATTTGATATATGATGTGTTTGGATAGATTGAGATTGATTTAACTTCAAAGTCCCTTAAAAAAGACCCCCCTTTTCAAAAGTCAATCCTAATTTACCCAAACAAAACCACATTAAAAATAATATAAAAATCCAAAAAGAGTTAACAACTTATTCAAGCAGCTATCGATATGCTTAAATGAATGACAATAAGCAATTGTCCTAAGAGGCATATTGTAAAGGCAGTTGGGTTATAGAATGACGGTACATTCAAATAATTTGCTGAATCACTCATATTACAACAACCAGCAGCGAAGCTCAATACAGTTGGAAAATAATCATTCCAAAATTGAACAGCACGATAATTGAGTGACTTAAAGTCACTCATATTGAATGACTTGTCAATTATGAGAATTCCAGGACTCTCTTGCGTGAACTTATCCCATTTTATGTACACACCAACTTGTGTAGGATTTGTAAATTTACAGAAATTTGCCCATAGTGTCATGATGATATCTGAGACACGTTTATCAGCATTATCCCAATGAACGTCAGCATTTGCTGTCCAATAAGGCAAGCCCCAAAGGAATATCTGTTCAAAACCATGTGGCACACCGACATCATCGGGTATATCAATCATTGTACGTGGTTTTAAATCAAATCTGTAAACATATGTGTCGGTCAATCTAGACATTTGTGCAGCCATTAAGATTGAAGGCGCATAATATTTTCGATCATTTAAGAATGTTAAATATAAGTTCCTTAGCGTTATTTTATCTTCTGTCGGTGGATATGGTCGATATAAAAAATTGACAGCTTCCACAACGATTTGATTGTTTCCTGCACACATCGTTTCGTTATTCTCGTATTTTGAAAAGTCACTTGCAACAACATCATTAATCATCGTATTATACCTATATATATGCGTGCAAAAGGAAATCAGGGAAATGGATAGAAATAATCAGCGTTAAAAATCAAATTAATTTGAATAAAGTAATCTAATTTATGCATTGAGGTTATCCTTACATATCCAAGTCGATTCCTTTTGTTACCATGTCTTCAGCAAATAAATCATACGCATCTTCCATGTCAGTAAATCCAATTAAGATTGGAATTTTACGCAAAAATCCTTGTTCAATTAGATTTTCTGGCTTGTCAGCGATGAATGACATCGTTTGGTTGCTCAAGCCTGTGAAATGAGCTCTGATTATTCTTTATACTTACAGAATAGTTTAAAATCACATACCTTCATCTACAATTGGTCCCCACCTCTGATCTTGTGTGTTCTCAACAAGAATCTTGGCATCAACGCGTCTTAAACAATCCATTAACGATGATGTCGGTCGACGAAAACAAGAGAATGCATGTGATACTTTATCGACAGCTCTTGAGTAGTACATTGCCGGTCTTACTGACGTACTGTAGTCATTATCATATAAAAGTGATGTCCCACTCATAATAACTGCTTTATGGAATAGATCTTTTGACCATTCCTTTGAGGTTAGGTGAGCGCAAACGGATGTAGCACCTGCACCATGCTGGAAAGACAGAAATCGTTAAGGCTTACTAGAAATCTGAAATTCGATCATACTTACTCCCATTAGACTGATGTTATCCTCATTTCCACCAAATGCCTTAATATTCTTTTTAATCCAAAGAAGAGCAGCTGACTGATCCATAAGACCATAATTTCCAGGTGATTCACCGTCGAGTGTCGTAAAGAATCCAAGAATATTCAACCGATATGCAATTGTAATAACAATAACTTTTTGCTTAAAAACTAGCTGAAATGGATTAATTTCAAACGGACTTCCATTCGAGAAATCGCCAGAATGAAGGTATGCAATAACGGCAAAACCATCTGAAGGCGGAGAGGCTGAAATGACCAAGCATATTTGTGTTTATTGGTAATTTAATTTCACCCAGTTACAGCGTTTTATTAGTAATTAAAAGTTTTTCTCTTGACTCTATGGGACTCTATATATTTTGTAGAAAATAAAAGTTAGAAAAGGACATTTGTAATTTTCTTAACATCCGGTTGTTCCACTTTATATTTTAACTGCCACTGTTATTCGAGTGTAGGAGTTAAAACTTAATTGTATTGTGTTTTAGAAAGTAAGTAAATGAGTCATTTTGCTGATTCAACAGCCAAAGCATCTTTCATCCTTTTTGTTTTGCTTTCAACTTTTCTAGTTCAAACTTTATGAAATATTTTAATTACATTAGTAATTCGTAAGCTCAACTGGATGTTTCTAGGTTAAAATCAAATTTGCAAAAAATGATCATCAAACCAAATAAAAGATGACTTGCTGGTAAAGTTTTGGCATTTCGGAGATCATAAGCAATCTTAAGAAGACGTTCCTCTATTACTTAACACTTCATTTTCTTAAACTTTCACAAAAAATCATCTAATTGTTAAAAGTAAGGAAATAAAATAAACCATCCAAGCAAATCCTGGTCAATTCTTTAGACAATCTGACCCCAACAATCACTTCCTTTTCTAACATAATTTAGAACTTTGTTAAAAGTAAAATAAGTTCCACGTTTTTGAAAATTTATGGCCCAGTGACATATATACGACACACGTTACATGCAAAACTTTTTACCCTATTTCCTTCTTTATATGCTTTGAAGTGGACAAGTCGGAGAAAAATATATGGAGAACAAGAAAGCAGCAAGAAACAATAATAAAAATAGTCTATTGCACAGCAATTAAGAAGTTAGCAACTCAACGGCAAATATTAAGTGCGTGTCAAGATTTCGTTGAGCCAATTATTCCATCGTACAGAAACTGAGCAATTCAGAACTTGGATATATGGTTTAATTATTAAAGCTACCTTTCAAGACTTAAATGAAATGAAATGAATAATGTGAAGAAATTTCGAGAATTAATGGTCTAATTTCACAGTTATTGGTCCCATAAAAGCTACAACTTAAAATGAATCAAAACTCAATCGTAAAGTAAGACGGAGCAAGGAAAATTCATATAAATAGACTCCTTGGCATGCCACAATGTTACGATGTTAACGGTTAATGAACCTTTTATGTTCCTATACATTGGCTGTAGAACACATTGGAATGTTCACTCGTTTAAAGTCTTTACTTGACCATTTAATGTAAGAAATGAAGAAAAAGAAGGAAAAAAAATATTACGACTTTAAGTTGAGAAAACCCGCGAGAAACACGCAAAGGCAAGGAAAAATCCTTGCTTATTTTTTTCTTTGAACTTGCCACGCTGTGTTCCTTCTGTTACCGTTTTGATAATGTCCTGCGTTGTTGTTGCGATACTTTTTTAAAAGTGGAAATTGCAAAGAAATAAAGTAAATAGTTTGAGAAGTCATTGGTGATAGTTTTATAGGTTACTGGATCACATTCAACATTTAGTCATAGCAGTTAACTGAAACATACGTAAATTGAATCTCTTATCTGCTCAAACGATTGATAGACAATAAACACATCAAATCAGCTGTTTTGAAAAACAATGACCCCCAAGTAATCAATTTCTGATTCAAATGAACAAATTAGATTTTTTCAAGGCGCCAGACGAGTTCAATCCTTCTGTTTTCTTATCATTAAATAAGTAAAACTAGTCCACACAATGTACGTCATAAAATAATCACAACTTCCAGCGAGCAAAAAAATTCCTTAATTACTAATTTCGCTTTGTGTGACGCAATTTCCTTCCTAGCTTCAAGATCGATCACAGTGCAACATTAAAATGTAAATGGGAATTTTTAAATACATATAATTTACACACTATTCCATTCGACACGCGAAAGTGCATCAATAAGAAGTACTAAAGCAGAAGTTTCTTCATTCCTTTTCCGATTTTTGTTTGTAGATAGCATTCAACAATCTAAATTTTTATTCACTCTGTGGTCGCGATGTGCAGCTATGATATAAAATCAATTTAGAAGTTTTTTCTTTCTTTATCGCGATTTTCTATTTCATTCTTGTTCATTCTTAATGGAAAAAGCATGAAAAATTGAGTTCATTGACAAAAAAAAGGAATAAGTATAAAACAATACATACATACAAGTTTATGTATATAGTTTGCTGAGATAGGAGGGAGCATGGTGAAGAAAAAAAGACGAGCATGGAATAGAAATCAATTTCAAAAATGACGTCACGCTGTGCGTTTGGATTTATTGGTGAAGAGGGTTCAGATCGCATATTTTATGGTATAAGTTTTGGGCATGGGTACTTTAGTCAGAGAACCTTCTTTACAAGGAGCAAATTCGGTTTCCTAGTTTTGACAAACTTAAACACAGAACATCTAAATGAATAACCCTTAAATTACAATTGCATCCTAACCTTCTAAAGTTATAACCAGAGATCGAAGCCGATTTTTTCGGCTTAACTCAATTTTTGATTATTTTGATAGAAAAAAGCCATTTAACACCCATTTCAAGTATTTAAATTGAAGTTTACATGCTTTACTATGATTCTGTGAAATATTTTTTCAGCATGTAGCTATAGTAAGCTCTGAATTTCAATTTAGCCGATTTTAAGCCGATCGGCTTAAATTTCGGCTTAACATTCTTTAACTTGAAATTCTGAGCTCACTATAGCTACATGCTGAAAAAATATTTCACAGAATCATAGTAAAGCATGTAAAGTTCAATTTAAATACTTAAAATGGGTGTTAAATGGCTTTTTTCTATCAAAAAAATCAAAAATTGAGTTAAGCCGAAAAAATCGGCTTCGATCTCTGGTTATAACCCCAAAATATTAGTAGTGATTCTCCCTCATTTCACTTAATTCATTCACTGAACATCCATTTACTGTCATTTTTCACGAACGTCTGAGAGTAACGAAGTCAATAAACTTGTATTTTTCAATTGTTATGTTCGATATTCAAATTTTTATGAATCCTTTTTAAGTTACACCCAGCAATACCCGAAATATTATAAATATCGAATTTTTATTTATTTTTTTATGATTTACGTGATTTACGATATAAATGTGTGAAGGTGAAAATTAAACAATATGTTTCAGGAAAAACAATACGAATATCCTTCAAAATTTCTTGTTTCCTTTCTAGAGTAAAAAGCAATGCCTTATTATCGACTATTTGATAGTAAATCACAGAGGAAATTATACTCAAATTATATTAATCAAGCGTTATTTGAATTATGAAGTACTAAGTTGCTGCTAAAATACATCTAGACTCAGTAAGATTCCGTTCATTTTAATGGCAAAGTGGCAGTAAAGTATGATATTATCTTGACTTTGATCTGCTTTTACTTTTTCACGATACATTTCAATCAATCAATGTTGATTTGAAGAATATCCTTGAAGTCGGATTTAAAGGTTGATGGTTGAATTATTTTTGGAATCTATACAATTTATGGAATTGATTTATACGAAAAATTCTGGTTATAAAATTAGTCAGGAACTGAAAACGCCCTAGGATCCAATTCAGAAAATAAGTTTGATAACTTAATGTTTTTTTTGGTATTGGAACTAGTGACTTAATTTTTAACGGTTGTGTGTAATATTTGGTAAATATGATGAGTTGGAGATGGATTTTAAGGACGATATCGAAAATGTTATTAATCGAAGAGTATGAACCAATTTGAACCAAGACTCAATCAACAAACTCTTTAACATCCAAAACAAACATCTAGAACTTTCAAATCTTTTCACTAATGAACATTTTTCGTTTTTAATTCATATTCCACACATTAGAGCTAAACGACCGTCTTTGACATATGTCCTTTTCATTGCTGACGACTAAATGAGAGAAAAGTTCATGCATGCAGCCATTCTTTTATGGAAAATAGGAGAGAAACTTTTACTTTCATCGTTCAATGTTCTGTTTGTGCTTCAATGTGAAATAAAATAATCACGAAATAATGAAGAACTTTTGCCTGATTTCGGTTCCATTGACAGATATTTTTTTGTTCCTAGCAAAAACTTTAACCAAATCGATTTTTCCATAAAATATATTTTTTTTGAACAAGGCATGAAAATAAATTTAAATACAAAAACAATTAGAATATTTTTTTTTCATTGTATTCTGTTTTGGTGCTTCAAATCACAGAGCGTTAACTAAGGCATTGGGTTATGTAAAAAATATTAAATGAAAATATTATGTGAACTATATTTTCCGTTCAGGATTTTCTGGATACATTTGTATATATTTTTTCCTTTTTCGTTTTATTTAAAGTGCACGCTATATACACCGAAATTGTTCCTTCTTTTTTTCCTTCCCTGTTTTAGTAAATGTGAATGCTTTATTGTTTTTATGCCAAAGTTCTACTACTGCTTTTCGTATTTTTATTTATATTATGTACATACCAATGTAAAATTATTCATTCCCTTATTTTGTTTTCTTTCATTTGGATATAAATTTTTTTTGTGAATGGAAGTCGAGAATTCAGTTGGCAGTCAAAACTGGTATCAAAGAAATAACTAGCGAGAAGGTCCTTATAAATAGGGTACTAAAGCACAATTTTAGCTTCTGACAGGTAGGATCAGGTGCGATCTGAGTATGGTTTGAAATAGGCGAGGCATGGGGGTGGGATGTACTATGACCTTAAACGCACCCCAGAATTTGAATGTATGCCATAAGGAACAGACCCCATACCGATCATAGACATAAAAGCTAGTCTAGTATAACCAAAATATAGAGTCGAATAAGACAAACTGACTATATCAACCCGATTAGATCTAAAGCTCAGAAAAACACGTTAAAATCGAGACAGACAAAGAAAGTTCATTTTTTGTCAAAGAAATAGAACTGAGAATTGATTTTTTTCCTGTGAGAGTCTACTTACCATCTGGTACAAAAATATTTAAATATAAACAATCCTCATTGAACTGATCACTTGCAATATCACTCATCATATCATCCATGTCCATAACTTTATTAAGTAACTTATTCAGCACTTGAGTGTGCTTTGGTTGTGGATTATTTGTATTTTGATAACAATTTGGAGGACTCATTGAGCCATTTTTCACTCCATCCCATGATGGTAATTGCTCAACGACAGGAGGACTAAATCTAAGACCTCCAATTGGTGGATGTGCGTATGGTATGCCCATATATGTTACAATCCTTTGAGTTCGATACATTTTCATAAACATTCCAGAAATCATTCCTTGATTTGGAATCTTTACCGTTGGAGGATCTCGACACATCACTTGAAAAATTAAAATACAGCAACACCATAATATTCGCGAAAATATCATGTTTTCCTCAAAATTATTTCTTATCTTCTTTGTTACGATTTAAATTAACTGAATTTTAACTGAATACATCACACAAACTTCTTATTTCTTTATTTTTCTTCTCTTTTTTTATATTCTCAAAAAATCACAAATTCCTTTCTCAAATGATTAAGAATAATAAATTATTTATTAAACAGCAAACTTTCTTTCTCGACATCTCTCGTCAATGTTTGCGCTCGAAATGAACGGTGTGTTTGAAAATTCACCACAAAAATTTTTAGCTGTGCTGCTTGGAAATAACCCTCCAACATAACTTTCTGTTCAATATCCATCGTTTTGTTGTTTGGGTAGATTTTCTTTTCTTTCCTTTTAAGCTGCCGAGCTATACAAGCGAATTATGCAAATTATTCCAATTCATAAACAACCCTCACAATTCTTTTGCTATGCTTGATGTGAATATATTCACTTTGAGCTTTGTTTGTAGTTTTCTTGTGGCTTGAGTTTGTCTTTCTTCTTAGGTGTTTTGGTCCAGTCGTATTGTGTGGATTGGTTCAATTATGATCAATTTCAATGGTTATGATCCGAACATACAAAGAGCATGCTCAGAAAAGTGAGCATATAAGTGAGTCTACTCAAAAATTATATTCATGCAAGCTCATTCAACTGAGCATGCTCAGGAGTTCATTACGAATGTACTCACTTTATTTTTTTGCAAAAAATTTATAAGCTCACGTGTGTACTCATGAGAATATTAAGAACATACTCACTTCTGTGTGACATAATTTTTTTACGTTCTCATATGAGTGCACTTACTGAACATGCTTATGGGAATATTAAGAACATACTCATGGGTATTTACTCTTATGAATACACTTCTTAAACATACTCATGAGCATATAATGATAATAATTATATCTATATGACATTTTAAAAAATGTCGACCAACTTAAAAGCGAACTAAGAGTACATTTTTATATCAGTCGACATTTTTAAAAAATGTAAAACAACTTAAAATCCAACTTAGAATATATTTTTATGATAGTCGACATTTTCAAAAATTGTATTTTAGATATGTAATACAAAAATGTACGAAACTTTTTCAAATTTTAAGTTTTCTGAATTAAATGTCAAGAGTTTCTCAAGGAATTAAATTGAAAATTATTTTGCTTTTAAAAAACTATAAAAATTAAGCACGATCAAAATCTTTTGGCTTTCATGGAACTAATATTTGAATTCATGAAATATTTTCAAAAAATGTCAACCTGCATAAAAACGTATTCTAAGTTTAATTTTAAGTTGGTCGATTTTTAAAAAATGTCGACTAATATAAAAATGTATTCGATGTTCGATTTTAAGCTGGTCGACATTTTTGAAAATGTCGACTTACTTAAAAATGTATTCTAAGTTTAATTTTAAGTTGGTCGACATTTTTCATAATATGTTCTCACGATCGTGCTCTGATCAACTCAAATATTTCATAAAAATATAGTTCAATTAAGTAGCGTATGAAACTTCAAAGAACTTAGTTTGCCTGTAATAATATAATAATTTAAGTATGTGTTTTGCCATGTAAAAATTATTATATATTTACCGAAAATTGCTCCAAGGAAAAAATTTCTAAATCTTCCAAAATTATTCACAGAATTATCCTTATAAAACTCAAATTTAACTTAATTAATTTTTTGAATTTTGTGACTTTAACTGATTGCACTCATGCATGTGCTCAGATGAGCATATACTCATAAATAAACTCACTGAGCATATGTATATCTTTTGAGTATCTTCATGAGTATAAGCTCTTTGAGTATGTTCATAAGTATATTCAAAATAAAATGTTGTTAAAAAAAATGTTGCGTGTGGCATGTCGCCTTCTCATTTGAGTATGCTTATGAGTTTACTCAGTGAGCTTAATGCATGTCAACACATAGGAATGTGCTCACTGAGCATACTCAAAAAGGTACCGTGATCGCATCATTTTAATGTATGAAATGAGCACATTCTCACAAAAGTTTGCAAGCTCACAAATAATGTGCTTTAAGTATACTCATTGTATGTTCGGATGATTTAATAAAGGTTCTTAATATTTGTTTCAAATTGAACTCTGTCAAGAACAGTTACTATAGAATGTTTATAACTTGATATGATCACCAAGACAATTTAATCCAGTTTTAAACAGAATTCAGAATAAAACTTGAATTTTACAATTCCTTATCAAAACCTCTTCATTTAAAGCTAGTTTCCTATGCCTTACATCTTACATAAATTCAATTAATGCGTTATGGCACGTTTCAATCCTATGCTGCACACCAATCTTTCCTTGTTTTATATGTTTGGTGATAGTTTTTATTTCGATTTTTCTTAATATTAGTGCTTTGTTGTGTTTGATTTAAAAAACATGAAATAAAATGGAATGAAAGCATGACGATGGGAATTTCCCCATATTTTATAAGCCGCTTTAAAGTTTTTCCTCAAATGACTTGAAAAAAAGCTTTGTGGGTGTGAAAGAAAAGCTTTAAAAAGTCATCAATCAGAGCATGCTGTTCTTTTTGAAAGAACAATTATTTTTGAATTTACAAAATTGGATTCAATTAATGTGTGGTCGGTGTTCTTGTAAATTACAGCATAAATCACATAATTTATTTAACATTTAGAAAATCAAGATTTAATAATTGAAGTAAAATAGTTGCCTCTGTATGCGATACTTTTTGGATAGATTCACGTCATACTGATTTATTCAAGAAAATCGAGTTGAGACAGTTCTTGTCGTGATTTAGACTCTAAGAAGTCCAAGTCTTCCTTGGTAAGTTTGTGCTCATTCTGATGTTTTAATTTGTTCAAAATTTCTAGTCTTTTTACTTCCATTTCCTCTTTACCGATTCTCTTTAACTTATAGTCCTCATTTAATGAATTCAACTGCTTCTCAAGCTCATCTTCTAACTTATATCCAAAAATCTTGATAATCTCTAGTGTATTAAAGGATTTAGCAATAACATTACGTAGTTCATGCTTTAGTACTGTAACTCTGTTATTAACACTCAAATCTCCTTTATTCATCCTTTCTAATGTCTCTGTGAATTCCTTGCTTTGGTCTAGAAACTCAGCTTTCATCTCTTGATACTCTAACAGCTCCATTTCATTTCTGGACGATTTAATTACAATTTATTTTGAATATTATTAAATTATCTTGTGAATCAGCACTTACTTTGTATCTTCGAGGTCTACAATCTCGTTGCATAGTCTCTTTAGCTGCGTCTCAAGGTTTTTAACTAATGAAAATTCCTGGTCCATTGCTAAATCTGTTAATTAAAGAAGTTATATGTCGGCAAATTATTTTATTTACTTTTTTGTCACTTGAGATTTGTTTTTGTTTTTTGAATTTTAAAAATCCGTTAAATGAATTATGTGAACAAGCTGAACCTTAAAAAATAAATTTTCAAATAAATCACTTAATTATATTAATCAGTGGCATTAAATAGTGAATTCAGTGAATTAAAGTGAACAACAATAAATAGTATTAGAAGAGCATCAAAAGAAGTTGGATATTTCACTAAACGTTGATTCCCCCTGAAATTAAGGTATGTATTCTGTATCTCTCGCAATTCACTTTACATTTTCAGTCAGTCTTCTGAGCTCGGTTAAAAAGTTCGTGGAATTTTCTGTTACTATAAAAAAAATTGTAAAATAGAAGAATCAAGAGAAGAAAAAGGCATAAATGTGTTAGTGTTATTGTGCTGTTTCTTGCATTTTTGAGATCAGTTTTTTTTTGTTCATTAATTCAATAATTTCGCAAGAGAACTTTAAAAAATTCTTATCGTGAATATTAAAAAAAGAAGTAAATTAACATATAAAGAAAATTGAGGAGATATTGAGTACCGACGGTGAGTAATGAATGTAAACTTTATCCGTAATAATAAATTTTTTTAAACGACAACCCGTAACATTGTTAATTAAGATGAGAAAGGAAAAAAAGCTGGGTTTGATGGCAATTTTGATGTGTCGTGATAGTGTTATAGGCAGTCATGGCATGTGTGTATTAGTAGCAAATCTCCAAAGTTGATTTTTTCATACCTAGCAATTTTTTGTGTTGTTGCTTGTTTGCTGGATGTTATTTTTTTTTTATTCCTCGATCGTAGTCGATCTACACAACACACAAAAAAGAGTTTATGGCATTTGACTGTGTTTTATTGTGTGTTTTTTTTTTTATATTTGAACGGAAAGTTGCACCGGTACTTATGAAAGTTAACAATCTAATATTTTAACTCAGAGTACAGCACACAGGTTTATAAAAAAATAATATTTAATTAATTGCAAGTCAGATGATTATTAAATAATGAAACAGCAAGCTAGCAAAAAAGTATACACAGTAGTAATGATAAGTACATTGAATTGAAAAGGTTCTCATGAAATTGCACACACGTGGCCTTAATTCATCATCTAGTAGAAATTTTTTTTGAAGTAATAAAATAAATGTGTGACACAATGTTGAAGATTTCACCGACTCTATATTTCACACAAAGTGACAATAAATCGAAAATGGCATAAAAATGCGAAACATAATTGTTCCTCAAAAACGAAAGAAGAAATGAATGTAAAAAAGAGTTTACAGTCATGGAAATTTAGATTAGAAAGTTTTGCTATGACTATTGCTTATTCAAGTCGTTTGGTCAAGTCAAGGCACGTTGAATCACTTTGACTCTTAATGAGAGAACAATGTAAACTTGCAGAGGAAGCGCTGTAATTAATGTTAAGTTCACTGGATCTGATCTGTTGGGCTTCTGAATTTTTATAATTTTTAACGGCTATTTAAGATTTTAATTCTAGCGGTTTTGTAGAATTTGAATTTGAACGGTTCTGTAGAATTTAAATTTTAACGGTTTTTGTAAGATTTGAATTTATAACGACTTTTTGTGATTCTATCTTTTTAATGACATTCAAAATGAACTGCAACGATTTAAATTCGAGATTAATGAACAGATTAGGCAATTTAAAATTTGCATGAAACTCCACGGCAATTAAAATTAAACACAAACCAGATTTTTGTTAAAGTGCACATTCCAATGTGATTGAGTTTATTACCTTCACAACTAAGCTAAAGAATTGTGAAAATGCAAAGGGAAAATGGGAACAAGTTAAATTGCTATAAAATAAAATAGAGCAAGTAGATCGCTGTATGTTAAAACATCTGTGGAGTGCACAAACAAAACAAAAAAGTAATTTTTCGATGTTATCTTGAAAATTTCATTCATTAGATAAGTGCTGTTTGTATATCCACTGTATATAGCCATTCAAAATGTAAATAACGATATTGTAACATTAATTTTCATAAATTCTACATTTCCGTCAGAGAAAACCTTAAAGATCAGCTCGTCATCTACATACGTAAATTTATCCATATACAGCACTCATCATACACTCATGTATGTAATGATGATAAATAATAATAATGATAATCAGATACTGTATGACATGGAAAATAGTATATACACAAAAAAATAAAGAGAATTCTTGCTATGACAATAATTTCATGGTTTGATAACGGACGAAATATATCTTTTTTATGGTTTTATTGTTCGTCATCATAACAATAAGTAATTTTACTTCTGTACGTGCAATTTTGTTTTTTTTTTTTTTGTTCTTTAACATGTCAGGCATGGAAACTTGATAATTTTATTTTTTGTGTATCAACAACCTTGGTTGGTGCTGTTGACAAACGCTTTGGAAATTATTAAAAATAGCCAAATTGATTCTGACAAAGATAGGGCGATTAGGGGGTTGAGGTTGATTGTTATTAGTGTTTTAATATTTAACCTGTCCCGCTAATACGCCATGTGAATACAGGGTGTCACGAAAGTGAATACAGTGTCATTTGACAGTCGTTGAGCTGTCATCTGACTGCCACTATGTACTTGTTTTTATACACACGATGGTTTTGGTATGGAGGGGGAAAGTCATTTAACAATTTAACAGTCATTATCTGATGTCAGCACGAAAAAGTCCAGAAACATAAACTACATTTAACATAGTCAGTAAAAAATAAATAGTCTGAAAAAGAGTGTTTGCATGTGAAGTAATACGGAAGTTTGCAGTCAAGCATTTTGCATATTAGCAAAAAAAAAAAATATTTACTTCCACTCGACCATGCATTTGCAGTTATTCGAAATTTCTGGCATTTTTCTGTGGGAACAATTTGTTGTGGAAAGTGAGGCTGATTGATTGCGAAAAATTGTTATTGACACAGTTGTAAAAAGCTGTAAAATTCTAATCTGATTGATTAAGTTTCCCATGACTGATCATCCTAATGACATTGCACATTATAATCTATATTGTATTTGTAACCTTGAGCCAAAAACAGTTCATATTTGTGTGACCAATACGACTTAAACCTGCATAATCGCCTACGGTTGGATCTTTACTTGTTTACTTCTATTTATACTCATTCTCCATGCTTTTTGTGTACACATTTGAATTCATGCCATTGAATAAACATAATTTTCTTATTTGTTGAATTAACTTGATGAATATATGACGGTCCATTTAATGGAGATTGTTTTCATTCCTTTTTGCACTATGTACTTGTAATCAGTGTCAATATGTTTTCTACTTCATACATCTTTCGCTTCATATTGTACTTTAATAAAAAATTATTGAAGTAGGCTTTAGAGTAGAGCATAATGTTAAGAACAATTTTGCGTCATATACTAAATTTCTAAGTATACGGAAATAAAGTTTAAGATGGAAAATGATAGACAATCTTCTCATGTCAAGTTGAAATTTCAGAGATGAGTTGATAAAGTAGCTTTAATTGTTTCTAGAAAAGTGAAACCTACTTGATATTACGTATTTTGAATGTAATGCTTTGTGAACTGATAAAGAATTATTAAAATTTTCGTGATTTTGGATTTCCGGAGTCAAAGCTGGTTAACTTAACTATAGAAAAAACCAAACCCTGAACAAATTTTAACGAATCTATAAAATCTATAAAGCCTTCAAAAAATTTGAATTTTAATGACTTTCGAAAATTTGAATTTTAACAACTTTCAAAAATTCAAAGTTTTAAAAACCGGTAAATTTCAAAATATTTAAAAGCCACTGCTCTAATCTTTAAAACCATTGTGACACAACCCTTGATATGAAAGCGTTTACAGCATCACAAGTGTAAGTAAATTACTGTGTCAAGTTAAGATGAATGAAAAGAGTTAACAGATTTCTCGGAACTAGATAAATCTCTGTACATTTTGTATTGTGAGCATGTATCGCATTTAAAATCCTACGAGACAACTTAATTCCATCTCATAAATGCTTAAAAAAAAAACTCAATTTCCATATTTTTCTATCATGAATAAATTTATGCATGTGAAACCTTCAATCTGATTTGAAAGTTCAATTCCATTGCATATAGACAAATTCATCATTGATAATTTGATGAAAGTATATACCTAGATGTATTTTCTTCGTGATTCTCGAATTATTGCATCAGATTAAAAAAAATTATTTTGCTCACATTTTGCATAAAGCTTTATAAATGTGTCACGAGGGTCAATAAAAGCATCGCAAAATAATCACTTTCAAAATACTCACCATAAGTGTTTATTTGTTTGTGCGGCACATATAATACAATTTTTTTTAATGAGCCATAAAAACAATTAAATTCGCATGAGACAATTTTTAATTTATTTTTTTTTTTTATTTCTATGAAGAAGAAAAAATGGAATTTTTTTAATTTTTAAATATTCTGCTCGCGTAGATACTATGAAAATGTACGGTTCAATTTAGTTCAAATCGAGAAAAAAGAAAGCTTTAATAGGAGGTGTAATGAAAATACTCACAATTGTGGTTATCATAAATTTTTTTAATAATATGCATTAGCACGTTGAGAAATGTGTAAAGACACAAAAGAAAGGGATAGTCAACATAAATGGGATTTTGAATTAGTTTCAGATCATAAAGATCTGAGACAATAGGACTTAGGAGTTGTTCGTTTATGATGTTTGACTTTTGGGGACAATCTGAGAGAAGGGGTTGACTCGATAAGTATTTGAAATCAAGATCTAGTTGATTCATTACTGTCCTGTATGGCTTCCTAAACTATCAAGTTCATGCTGCTTCTCAGGACTTTAAGACATAATAGGAGGCAATGAGAGGGAGGGTCCTAGGGTCACCTCTGTTTCGATTCAAAGTAAATCATATAGAATTAGTCACTGCTTGGTATTCTTTTAAACATTTTATTCTCCACCCATGACACAAGATCTCGATTAAAACATTTCTCAAACTTAAAATTGATGCCAAAA